TTCCCTCCCTCTTTCCTTCCTTCCCTTCCTTCCTCTCTCTCTTTCCTTCCTTCCTCTCTCTTTCTTTCCTCCCTCCCTCCTTTCCTCCCCTCCCTCCCTCCCTTCCTTCCTCTTTCTTTCCTTCCTCTCTCTCTCCTTCCTTCCTCTCTCCTCCTCTCTCTTTCCTTCCTTCCTCCCTCCCTTCCTTCCTTCCTAATTGCCCTGTTCCCCGGGCTGGAGTGCAGCAGCATGATCATAGCTCACTGTAGCCTCTGCCTCCTGATCAACTGATCCTGCCACTTCAGCCTCCTGAGTAGCTGGGACTACAAGCATGTGTCACCATGCCTGACTATTTTTTAATTTTTTTTGTAGAGATGAGGTCTCACTGTCTTGCCCAGGCTGTACTAGAACTCCTGAGCTCAAGTGATCCTTCTGCCCTGGCCTCCCAAAGTGCTGGGATTACTGGCTTATGCTATCACACCTGGCCCACGTCTTTCATTTTTGTTACTCTGTATAGGAAGTGGGTACTTTGGACAGGAGTGCAGTATTTGTTTTCCTGATGCAAACATTGAGATGCTGGGAAGATCAACCAATGCAAGCTTCTTGCGAAAGGAAGTTCTGTCTCAACCCCAAACAGCCCCAGTGTGAGGATGGGTCTGCATACAGTAGATGCCCAGGGGACGTTTGTCAAATCGACTTGTTCCCATAGTTCGCTACATAGGGAAGGCGTTCTTGTCATCGTCATTGTCATTCTCATTTTAAAAACAAAGTAGGATTCAGAGAGATTAGGTAAGTCCAGCGACACAGCGTGAAAAAGGCAGAACCAAGACCCAAAGGGTGGCCTCTACCTCCACGTGCTGTGCACTTCCCACGTTGCACTGCCCTGCTGAGAGCCAGCAAGAGGACTCAAACAATGGGTGTGTGTGGATGGTGACTGGAAGGCAGGGGAGATGGAAGTTCCTGGGCTTGCTGAGACCCTAATGACATGTGGTTTCTGGGAAAGAACTGAAACCTGGGACTCAGCCTGATCTGCACTGACTCCTCAACTCTGCTTCCTGCTGTCTGTGTGGCCGTGGGCTAGACTCTGACCCCCTGGGACTCGGTTTCCTCATCAGCAAAACTAGCAAAATAGCATCTTCATCTTCTGGTGTACAGAACATTCTCAATTCATAGTAGTTTATTTTATCAGTTTAACAATTTTTGTTGCTGCTGCTATGCTGCTATTATTTGCCTTTTTTTTTTTTTTTTTGAGACAGAGTCTTGCTCTGTCACCCAGGCTCTGTCACGAATGCAGTGGCGCTATCTCGGCTCACTGCAACCTCTGCCTTCAGGGTTCAACTGATTCTCCTGCCTCAGCCTCCTGAATAGCTGGGACTGCAGGTGCATGCCACCACGCCCGGCTAATTTTTTGTATTTTTAGTAGATACAGGGTTTCACCGTGTTACCCAGGATGGTCTCAATCTCCTGACCTCATGATCTGCCTGACTTGGCCTCCCAAAGTGCTGCGATTAGAGGCATGAGCCACCACGCCCGACCATTATTTGCCTTTAAACACATGAAACAAGGAATAGATTTCTAAATTGCATCTTATGTTACAATAAGTGACCATTAAGGTTATTCAGAGAATCTGATGTGTTAGACATAGGAACAAAAGCAAGGTTCCTTTTTCTGTAACTGCTATTTTCTATCTTAGAAAAGCTGAGGTGACATTTTCTAGTATTGTTTCTAAAAACATAAAGCCTGCTTCATTACACCATGGTTGGTTGGTTCACTTATTTTGTAAGTGTTAAGACTCAGCAAGGGGAGAGTTTCCCCAGCTTTAAAGTCTACCGTCGTTGGTCTGTGCCTTGCATTGCCCATTTCTTCACTGCCTTGTAATTTTTCTGCTGATGCAGTTGCCTCCCCTGCTCCATGGAATAACCAAGTCCTGTTCACCATTGTGTCCCCAGCGCCAAGCACAATCCATAGTACATAGCAGGGGAGCTCAGTGATGTTTCTTCTGTTTCTGAATGAATGAATGAAATGGGATAGGAGTGAAAGGAGACAAACATAGCACGACATATATTAGGATCAGTTACTCATTTTCTTTTCTAAGAAATGCGGAGGTAGTGCGACCCTGTGTTAATATATAAATAAGAACATGCAGCTTCACACGTCTCCTCGTTGAGCCCTGAAATAAGTACAAAGGTGGCAGACAAGATCTAGCTGTGTGGGAGATTCCACGGGAGGAGGGGATAGGTTTAATTTGGCCCTTTCAGGATGCTGAGTTTATGCCTGCAAGTGTCAGAAGCTACACATATCTGCTCCTCTGCAAGGGAAGATGACCTTGAAGATGAGGTTATTGATGGGATTTATTTAAAACACAGGCATGTTCAAGAGCTGCAAGACTGATTGGCTGTGTTAAAATATTCAAATCAAAAGTGCAGCTACTTAGTGTGTGTTGGCAAACATTTTATGTTACAATTGTAAAAATGATGCATGTTTACTACAGAAACTTTAGAAAGATCAACTGAAAGAAGTGTTTCAGGGATAAGAGCTGATAGCATTTTGGTGAATATATTTTTAAAATTTTATATACATGCTAACAATATTTTTACAATGCTTTATTTTATACATTTTGCCATAAAACCTGCTTTAGAAAACATAGCAATAAATAGTGAACATTTTCCAGGTCAATGTATCTTCTTGTGTGACCTAATTTTAGTGGCTACTTAGCATTGCTAAGAGGTCCTGATGCTGTGGTCGATTATTTTCAGTCTTGGGCTGCTAAGAAAAAAGATGTTTTTTGTAGGTAATATTTGTGTAAAACTGTGATTATTAAGGCTGGATGTGGTGGCTCCTGCCTGTAATTCCAGCACTTTGGGAGGCCGAGGCAAGTGGGATCACTGAGGTTAGGAGCTTGAGACCAGCCTGGCCAAATATGGTGAAACCCTGTCTTTACTAAAAATACAAAAATTAGCCAGGCATGGTGGTGGGTGCCTGCAATCTCAGCTACTAGGGAGGCTGAGGCAGGAGAATCGCTTATCGCTTGAACTCAGGAGGCAGAGGTTGCAGTGAGCCAAGATCGCATCATTCTACTCCAGCCTGGGCAATAAGAGCGAAACTCTGTCTCAAAAAAACAAAACAAAACAAAACACAAACCAACCCCCCCAAAACTATGATTATTTACATGCAATCAGTACTTAGATGTGGGAATGTAGAATCCCAAGTTATATTTAATTTTAAGTGTCATTCCCTACTCTCACCAAAGACTTATGGTTTGGAAAACCTTTGCCAGGCCAGTGTTTGTTAGGTGAAAGATGATAGTTTATGTTGTTTGCGTTTAAAGCCATCTTTGGATGATAATCATTTTCCTTAACACGTTGCAATTCATTTTTTGTGTTTTGCTTTGCTTCACTTATTTCTGAGGTTGGGGATGGTCTTGCTATGTTGCCAAGGTTGGTCTCAAATTCCTGGGCTCAAGCAGTTCTCTGCCTCAGCCTCCCAGGTAGCTGGGACTACAGGTGTGCAACACCATGCTCAGCCGTAATACTCTTTTTTTCTTTTGGAATTTCTGGTTGGTGCACTTGCCTTTTCCTTCTTAATTTGATAGAACTTCTTCTAAGTTAGCAATGTTATCCTTTTTTCTGCCATATGTGTGGCAATATATTTTTCCCAGCTCATCATTTGCCTTTAGTTTTGGTTGATGATGTTTTCTTAGACATACCTTCCTTGAATTGACGTAGTTTTGCTTCTGGTAAATTGTTTTTCTTCCCACCTGCATTGAGTTAGAAATGGAATGTTTTAAGAATGAATTTGTCATTCTTTGGTGACAAAAACCACCAAGTCTCCTGTAAAGACAGCTCACCAACGTAAGGTCCAAGCCTGGGCCACCTTTTCACCAGCATCACTGTCACCAAATATGTCAACTCTGGCGAGAATAAGCGAAGGAGCCTAACAGGTTTTAAGTGGTTTTGACAGTCTTTTAGCAATCTTTTCTGAGAAACTGGCACCCAAGCATCTGCAAATCAGTCACCCTTCCTTTTAATCTCCATCAAGGTCAGCCCTGGTATTTGACCCTGTTTGGATAAAATCTAGGGCAAGGCACATACATGATTTTAAATGATCTAGTAGCCACATTAAAAAAGATTAAGGCTGGGTGTGGTGGCTCACACCTGTAATCCTAACACTTTGGCAAGCAGAGGAGGGAGGATCACTTGAGATCAGGGATTCGAGACCAACCTAGCCAATACGGTGAAACCCTATCTCTACTAAAAATACAGAAATTAGCTGGGCTTGGTGGCACATGCCCGTAGTCCTAGCTACTCAGGAGGCTGAGGCAGGAGAATTGCTTGAACTCGGAAAGCTGAGGTTGCAGTGAGCCAAGGTTGTGCCATTGATCTCCAGCCTGGGCATCTTAGTGAGAAAACATTTAAAAAAAAAAAGAGAAAGTTAATCCAGTGAAAGTTTCAGGAAATAAATGAAAATGTTGCCAGGAGCTCAGTTGCATTTTCTAGAACTCTTAGCCTAATTTTATTAAGTTCAACCCTGTGATAAGTGCTGGGAATAAAAAAAATGTAATGTAGTCTCTGCAAGAAGTATATTTCCCTGTGATTAAAGCTGATCATGGGAGCAGATCTTCTGAAACCCTCAGTGACAACCTCTCATTGACTAGTGACTCAAATATTAGTGCAGAGTGGAAGACTCTAAATGAGCAGAGGAAAGGTAGATGGTGTAAAGGCAGGGGAACTGGTGAATTTCAGAAATAGTAAGAGTGAATTCAGCACTCCTAATCATTTGAATAAAGGTCTTTATATTCCCCCCAAATTAATAAGAAACAGGTGAAAAAGGAAAATCCCCAAGAGATTGTAATTAAGGTAGAAACTTATATTAAGGAGCTCATCCAGAAAACAGGTGGGTACCCTCCTAAGGATGAGAACAGCTGGGGGCGAGTTGGTGAAGTTTCTGACTCTTAAAATTCTTGTCAACATGAGGATTGCAGCTTCCCTATACCTGTACCAATAGGTATGTGTTATTTTAAGGGCCAGTGGAGATGGCACCCAAGCCCCACTCAGAATGGAGCCCAGGCTGTTGGAACCCACTGCTCAGGACAACTTGCACGTGTCCATCACGAGACGAGATTGGCTTCTTCAGGAAAAGCAGCAATTACAGGTGAGCAGGTGAAAGATACTCAAGAAATATGATGGCATTTTTCTTTTCTTTGAGACAAGGTCTCACTCTGTTGCCTAGGTTGGAGGGCAGTGGCGCAATCAGCTCCTGGGTGATTCTCCCACCTCGGCCTCCCAAGTAGCTGGGACTACAGGCATGCCCCCTCTGCCTGGCTAACTTGTTTATTTTTAGTAGAGATCAGGTCTTACTATGTTGCTCAAGCTGCTCTTGAACTCCTGGGCTCAAACAATCCTCCTGTCTCAGTTTCCCAAAGTGCTGGAATTACAGGCGTGAGTCACCTTGCCCAGCCAGTATTTTTCTTATCCATTTAAGCCAAATGCAGCCAAATGGGGTTTTGCTTTGCTTGAGTGTGGCAATTAGAGCCTTGGCTGTCAAGCCGGCGAGTACAAAACTGAGAGATGGTGGGAATGACTAGAGGGCTTGTAGGAATCTCATTACAAATGAGGGTTGAAAGCTCAGCAGCGTTTGAGCCTGTTTTCGATATTCCTCATTACCTTTTGAATATGCTTTTCTTGTCTGCCAGGCCAGTTCGCCACTTCTTATCATTTTGACCTTTAGAAGCTTCCTTTGAAAGGCAGAAAGACATCTGTGCTGTGAAAATCCTTTATGGAAATCCCTATCATGGTAGACGGTGAACTGCAGTTGTTAAGAGACAGAGTTGTAAGTCCAGAGCGAGTGAGGCAGGCACACCTGGAATGATGAGACGGCTGCGTGGAAGCCCTGGGTTGGCGGCAAACAGTGCTTCAAAGTTGGCTAAGAATCATCGAGGGGCTACAGATCTGGGTGCAGCACCGAGTTAAAGCCAGAGCTGTGGAAGTTGACAGGGCACCCCAGAGGCAGGGAATCTTGAAACAGGGTCCGTGCCTGCCTGGAGCAGTGAAGCACGGGTCGGGAGCGATGAGGACACATTGATTAGAAGCAACGTGACTTCATGGGAAAAGCATAGATCTTCTGTCCAAGTCTGAACCCTGGCTTAGTCTTGAGGCTTCCCCCTCTCTGCTCCCGCCATAGAGTGACTTCGTTATCTGAATTTGCCCCATTCGGGTCACTACAAGAGTAAGGTGGCAAAGAAAGGCAAAAGTCAGGGCAATTTATTTGAAACGATTTCCCCCGTAACTGAGCACTCAGATAGTCAATGTGCATCATTATCATGTTTGGATAGCTGAAAATGTGAAATCTGGTTTTTGGTTTTAAATAACATTTGTCAATTAAAGGTCTACACAATTCCTGAGAATGTCAGAGTGTAGAGAATATAATTTTAGCCCCAGGCACTTAGTGTTTGAAGCACTCTGGGGAAAAGTACTTGAATATTCATTTATTCAACAGGCATTTATTGAGGATTCACTAAGTGCCAGATACTGTTTGAAATGCTTGGGATTCTTGGGGAGCTTTTGAGCTATTGGGGGTGAGAATGGGGAGATAGACAATAAGTGACAAACATAATAAATACCTCAATTAGCTATCTGGTATGTTGTAGGGTGCTAAGAGCTGCGTGGAGTAGACTAGGGTGACGTGGAGGGTGGACGACGTTGTCCACTCGTTGAGAAGTGGGATTGCACCCAACCCTTGAAGGAGGAGAGGGAGTAGGCCTTGCAGAAATTTCTGCAAGAGCGTCCTGGGCAGGGGGACACCAGTGAAGGCTTAGAGTGGGAGTGGGCCTCTTGTGTTCAGAGGGCAGCTGGAGGCCCATGTGGCTGGAGCAGTGTCAATTTGGGGAGGAAGTCAAAGATTAAAGGGCCTGGAAAGGATTTGGATTTTTGTCAGATTGCAACAGGGAACCAGTGTTAAGCAGTGAAGTGACAGGATCTGACCACACTGTCAATAATTTGACTACTGTATTAGGAATAGGATATCAGACAAAACAGAAAACAGTATGCAGCTTCCCGAAAAAATTAAAAGTTGGGCCACGTGCGGTGGCTCACGCCTGTAATCCCAGCACTTTGGGTGGCCGAGGTGGGCGGATCACCTGAGGTCAGGAGTTCAAGACCAGTCTGGCGAACATAGTAAAACCCCATCTCTACTAAAAATACAAAAATTAGCTGGGTGTGGTAGTGGATGCCTGTAATCCCAGCTATCAGGAGGCTGAGACAGAAGAATCACTTGAACACGGGAGGCGGAGGTTGCAGTGAGCCAAGATTGTACCACTGCACTCCAGCCTGGGCAACAAAGAACAAAACTCTGTCTCAAAAAGAAAAAAAAAATTTAAAAATTGATTTACTGTGTGGTCCAGCCACCCCATTCTGGGTATATATATACCTCATATCTCTCTCTCTCTCTCCAAAAAATAGAATGCAGAGATTCAAAGAGATATTTATACACCCATGCTCATAGCAGTATGATTCACAATAGCCAAAAGCTGATAACAAATCAAATGCTCATCAACAGATAACTGATAAAATGTGTATGTACTTGCAGTGGAATATTGCTAAGTCTTAAAAAGGAAGGAAGTTCTGACACACACTACAGCATGGATGAACGTTGAGCACATTATGCTAAGTGAAATAAACTGGTCGCAAAAGGATAAATGCTGTATGATTCCACCTGGGTGAGCTACCTAGAGGAGTTAAATTCATAGAGAAAGTAGAATGGTGATTCCCAGGGACCTGGAGGAAGAGAGAATGGGGAATTGGTTTTTAATGGGTACAGAGTGTCAGTTTTGCAAGATGAAGAGTTCTGTGGATGGATGACAGTGATGGTTGTACAGCAATGTGAATATACTTAATGTCACTGAACTCTACACTTAAAAATGCTCAAGATGGTGAATTTTATGCTTTGTGTATTTTACCAGTTAAAAAAAACTGAAAGAAAAAATAGTAGGGTAGAGGAAGTCAAAAGGAAGTAGGGTGGAGGTAGGGAGGTTACTTGAGAGACTTTGTCAGTAATGGTGTAATCTTGGAGCAATCGGGGACACTGAGGCATTACCTTTTTCTAGAATGTCTTGGTGGTAGACATTTTTTAGTAACTCCCCATTCCTCTCCCCACTCCCATAATTGAAGTGGATTCAGGAGGTAGCGAAGCAGGAGCAGCCGCAAACAAACCTCTTGATCAGGGAACAGGGAAGGAAGTGGTGATTTATTTGGCTGGGAGCTGCGGCAGGTGAAAACACCTTAACAGCCGAGCTCCCCAACAAAGAAAATCCTTGTCCTTTTAAAGGCTTACAGTTCAGAAATTACATGTGAAAGGGTCTGGATCCATGAAGTAGGCATGGAGTATGTGACCAGGTGGGGGTTTGATCGTGTTTAAGCAAAAACAATGCCTTCTGGAAAGATTCCTCCTTACCGTGCCTGTGATCCACAGGAGGGCGATTAAGGTGGTGCCCGGTCTGCCAGCCTTTACTTCTCCTATTGAAATGCAAGGTGGAAGTCTAGGGGGAGGTGGTCTTTGAAGCTTAGGAGGATTAAGGGTCTCCTCCCTCAGTAGAAGTTGTAGGTGATGTACCTTGGGGCTGAGAGAATGTGAATAAGAAGTGAGGAGACACCCAGGGGTAGATCTGAGCTCTTAGAAGCACAAAACATGGGAGTATGTTAATTAAGAGTCTTGTTTTTGATTCAGAATCATGTGGGCAGTGAGGTGATGATCTGCTATAACGCTGTGCACACAGTGGGTGTTCATTACCTGCCGCTTGTTTACTTTCTTGACCCTAAGATTAGATGCTATTTTATGGATTATTTGGATTTCAGTTTGCTGTATTTGTAGAAATTACATTTATTTGTATTTTCATGATCTTTAGACTGCATGGCACTATCTGCAGCATCTCATTCTTTTTTCAATCCTGTGGACTTAAGAAGCCCATGATTTTTTTAACTTTTTCTTTATTCTGAATTCTTGTGTTTGGGGGCAGACCAACAAAGGGTCACTTGCGTTTTTTGTTTTGGTCTGTGGCTGGGGTTACCGGCTTAGCTCAGACCTCAGGTACATGACGCTCCCTGCCCCATGTCCTAACTCGCCCATCCGAAATGAAGTAAGTCATTTGTGTATCTGCTGGGTTCTTCCAAGTCAAATTCTTGGCTCACCCCCCATAGTTATTTAATGCTCGGGAGGGAATGTTTTTCCTTATGCCAACTCATTAGAAATATAAAGCTGGCATGATTTTTCCAGTTCAGCAAACTCCAAAAATCTGCCTGCCTCAGAAGGGGAGCTTTGTGGTTCTGGTGCATATGGCCAATTCTCATTTAAATGAGTCATTATCCTCAGAGCAGTTTGCCATGAGCAAGGTTAATTTGTAAAATCTGGTCTCCACATTGTCTACAGAAAGAAATCGAAGCTCTCCAAGCAAGAATGTCTGTGCTGGAAGCCAAAGATCAACAGCTGAGAAGGGAAATCATGGAGCAAGAGCAGCAACTCCGGTGGCAGGGCTGTGACCTGACCCCGCTGGTGGGCCGGCTGTCCCTGGGTCAGCTGCAGGAGGTCAGCAAGGCCTTGCGGGACACCCTGGCCTCAGCCGGTCAGATTCCCTTCCATGCAGAGCCACCAGAAACCATAAGGAGGTACTGGTGATTCCCTAACTGATTTTGGGTTGATCACCTCTTTGACCTGTTCATTGGAATGATTTTGTCTGCTGTCTTTCTTCTCTAAACATTTCCCGAGCGGTCTGTATTTTTCAGTGGAAGCACCATTAGTGTTTCGGGTGGGAAAATTCTTCACTGTATAGGGCAGTCCTGAGCATTGCAAGTTATTTCACATCCTGGCCACTCAACCCACTAAATGCTCCTCCCCATTCCAATATGCACCCTCCCCATTTGCAAACACCCTCAAGGAACCCTCTCTCCCTTTGAGAACTGCTGGAGTTCAGTTGGTTAGAGATCCTGATGCAAACTTTTGCTGAGGACGATCATCTGGGGACGGGTGAACTATGCCTCTCACCAAGGGAGGAGATGAGCCATTGAGAGAGGGACACCCAATGACAAAGTTTCCATCTGGAAGAATGGATTATTATTGTTATTAGTAGCTAAAACGTATTAGGTGCTTATCATGTAACAGGCACTGTGATAAGCTGACTCTACGAGTTACTTCCGTTGTTAGGGTGACAAAAAAAAGTTTAAGAAGGTTACAATTTGCCCAAAGTCATAATTAATAAGAGAGAAAAGTGATACTTACACTCCTATTCATTAATTCTGAAGCCTAGTCTTCTCTATGGAGAAGAGAACCTCCCCTGTATTCTGTATCATGGAATATCTATAAGATACACGTCTACTTTTTGCCCTTCATTTTTTTTTTTTTTAACAGACAGGGTCTTGTTTTGTTGCCCAGGCTGGAGCACAGTGGCACAATCATGGCTCACTGTAGCCTCAAATTCCTGGGTTTAAGTGATCCTGTCTGCCTCAGCCTCTGGAGTAGCTGAGACCACAGGCTTGAGCCTCCACATATGGCTATTTTTTTTAAAGGTTTTTTTTTTTTGCAGAAATGAAGTTGCTCTATGTTGCCCATGCTGCTCTTGAACTCCTGGGCTCAAGTGATCCTCCCTGCCTCAGCCTCTGGAGGAGCTGGGACCACAGGCTTGGGCCACCACCAGCTGGCTATTTTTTTGTTTTTATTTTTTTTTTGTAGAGATAAAGTCTTTCTATGTTACCCAGGTTGCTTTTGAACTCCTGGGCTCAAGTGATTCTCCTGCCTTAGCCTCCTGAAGTGCTGGGATTACAGGTTTTAGCCACTGCACCCAGCCTTTCTTGTCCTTCACGAGCTCATACTCTTATTTCTGAGACAGACAGACTCACACTTAGACATATTGGACAGAAAAGTCAGTTCGCACCCAAATGGATCTGCAGATGAGCAGGAGGGACGGCACGTGCTACATGGGTAGAGCCAGGAGTGGGAGCAATGGTCAGCGCGGCTACTGTGCTGAAGAAAAGACTTCCTACAACTCACCACCTATAGTGTCTGAGAATACGGACTCTGCTTCTTGATTGTCTGGGGTTGAAGGCTGACTCCTTACTCAACCCCTTATTGGCTGATTTGAGGGAAGGGGTGATGATAATGATTCCTACCTTTTAGTGCTATTACATGGATGAACCGAGTAAATACATAGAAAACTCCAGCAGAGCCTGGAAGGTAGTAAGCACTTTTTTATGCTTCTAGTTGCTGTCTTTACAATGGAAATTTCAGTCTCCTGAAGGCCTTCAAACTGCCCGTCCAAATGTATCTTAGTGTACTTAGTGAATGACTCTTCTGTCTTCCACGTGTATTTTTTTTTTTTTTTTTTTGAGATGGAGTTTCGCTCTTGTTACCCAGGCTGGAGTGCAATGGCGCGATCTCGGCTCACCGCAACCTCCGCCTCCTGGGTTCAGGCAATTCTCCTGCCTCAGCCTCCCAAGTAGCTGAGATTACAGGCATGCACCACCGTGCCCAGCTAATTTTTTGTATTTTTAGTAGAGATGGGGTTTCACCATGTTGACCAGGATGGTCTCGATCTGTTGACCTCATGATCCACCCGCCTCGGCCTCCCAAAGTGCTGGGATTACAGGCTTGAGCCACCGCGCCCGGCCAACTTCCACGTGTATTACATTCTGTCCAGTCTATAAAAGCAAGCAGCACATGCTATTCTAGGGAGCTACTTTAGATCTCCTCCCATTCCCCTTCTATCCTGAATATTTCCAGGCAGAATTCGAAACCCATGGCTCATGCCCATGGATAAGGGGAAGGGATTTGGACTGTTGCCGGTTTTCATCCAAATGAAACAGGTCCCTTGAATACAGCCTTGTTCTCTCCCACCTGCACTTTCAGAGCCATTCTCAAGCGATTGCCTTGGGGTGGGGGGTAGGCTGTTATGTTATTCTCACTTTGCAAGCGAGGAAACAAAAACTCAGAAAGTTTCCCTGGTGATGTAGCTAGTAAGAGACCATCTTGTTTATAACTATGGCTGTCTTTGGGCCTGAATCTATCAAAGATGGTTTCCTTCTAGAGAGCCAAGGAAGCTACTTCTATGACTACTTCTCTTTCCTCATCTAAAATTAGGAGCTCCACAATACATACGGTTGGCTGGTAGAACTGGGCCCAGGACTTGGTCTGGTTTTCTGCCCATGTCCTCTGGCTTGCCTTTTCCTCAGGATGAGTCACAGAGAAGGCTCAGGACGAATGTGTGACTTTTACTCAGTAATCCGGTGCTCTGGTCAATTGGATAAGCTTTTGAGAGGCATTTCAAAAGTTGTAGCTTTCTGATTTTATGATGATGTTAGGGAAATAATATATGAGGCTGGTCTTGAACATGGGGCACTGCTGTCTGTGGGGTCCTCTGGGGAGAATCTATCATTCTCCAATTCAAATATTCCCACTGAGGTTACAGAGGTCAGGTCAAGAATAGGCTGCCATGTTTTTGGGCTGAGGTGACTATAGGAAAAGGTCTTTCTGAAACCATGAAGCCTTCATTTAGGAGGAGATCTTGGAAATGGAAGGATGAGGTTGGGAGCAATGGCTCACACCTGTAATCCTGGCACTTTGGGAGGCCAAGGGGGGAAGATTGCTTGAGCCCAGGAATATGAGACCAAGTTTCTACAAAAATAAAAAAATAAAGTAAAAAAATCAGCCGGGCGTGATCGAGAGCACTTATAGTCCTAGCTACTCAGGAGGCAGAGGCAGGAAGGTTGCTTGAGCCCAAGAGTTTGAGGTTACAGTGAGCTATGATTGTGCCACTGTAGTCCAGCCAGGGCAACAGAGCAAGACCCTATCTCAAAGACAAAAAAAGGCATATAAGGACGAAGAGTTGCATGGGAGGGTAGGAATAAACCAGAGCAATAAAAAGGTTTAAAAAATCTGGACAATTGAATGACTAGTTCATAACATGACCTTTGGAACACTCATGGTGAGCAGAGGCCATCAGCACCAACTGGGGTTTTGTGCAGCTAGAGTGTGGCCACCCTGAGACATCCTCATTATCTGGGTGATGCTCAAGAGGTGACCCTGCGTATCAGTATAATTTACTTTGAGGTGCAGGGAGGTACCACCCCATCGGGAGGGCATTTGGGGCTGTGTAGGTGCATGCTCTGATTGGTCAGCTTCCCTTCTTCCACCGTAGGGAGGTGAGGCATCAGACTGCTCCCTGCCATAACCATCAGCTGGAAAAACCCATCATCCATATGTGGGCTTTCCATTTGAGAAGGAAGAGATGTGTTTTCCAAGCTGATAGGCTGCAGCATGGATCTGCAGAAACAGAACATTTGAAAGAAGCCAGTGGAAAGCCAGGTGGTTTAACACATCAGAGAGATTGCTTGGTCCAGTATTTTTAACTAATTGGACATGATCTTGTTAATCTAATTTTTGCTATGAAGTATTGGTTGTCTTTTAGAAAATGCTGACTTAGGGAGAATATCCTGTAGGTATATTCAGCAAAATGAACCCATCTTATATACATCAATGAGAATAGGCTCTTCTTAGGCCAGATGGAGAGAGCCAGACAAATTGTGAAATAGGAAAATATTGAAGTCTTATAAAGAGAAGTTGTAAATACTAGTATTGTCACAAAACCTGGAGAAACAGATCACTCAACATCATGACTGTTACCGTCATGGATTGTTATCAGCTACAAACCCAGGGTGCCGTCTGTTTTTGATTTACTCAACTTTCTAACATGCAGTTGTAAAGGGAAGGACATGCTTTGTTCTCTGGACAACTACCCATGAACTTGAAAAGAAACTTCCTAATAGCACATGACATTTCTGGATGTATCACTGAGGGAGACTCACGTGCTTGCATGGAGGCCATGATTTCTGACTGTAGCTTGTTGGGAACCCCCTGGCCAATGTCAGAGATGGGTTGAAAGTAGAGGGAATGTGCTGGGGTCAAGGACACCCCATGATTTTTGGTTTGGGTGTGATAATAGAAACCAAAGAAACCCTTTGAATTTTCCAATATCTGTGTTCTGGATCAAATAATTTAGCAGGAGGAGATGAAGTGTTATCATCCCAGAGACATCATAGCTGCCTTTTGAGTAGAGCCAACAAAAATGGTTTTCTTCCAGTGAACAAAAGGAGAATCCTTTTTGAGCGCTGGAGAATCAGGAGCTCCACAGTATGGAAGCTGACAGAGCAGGGGTGCGTGAAAGGACAGGAACCACTTAAAAGATGTGTTCATTTGAGTTTCTCTCATCCCTGGGATTCCAACCCCTCCACTTTAAAGTAAGCTCCTTATTTTCTCCTGCAAGTCTTCCTTTGATGTGAGGATCTTAGGACTGCTTTTCTCCAGTGAGCTTGGTTGTCTTCCCACATGAAACCCATCGTCCTTGGTCCGCCCACGCTGACTCCACTCCCATTCTCTGTAATGGGATTGTGATGTGGTGGTGGGGGAGGGAGGAGAGGGAAAAGATGTGGGGACACAGGGAGGAGGTGACGTTGTCCAGGGTTTTCTGTGGATCACGGTCCCTCCATGTGTGGCGTGAGGTTCCATCTATTTATTTGGTGTAAATTGAGGAGAATGGTGATTTGCGGCTCATCTCTCTCCAGGGCCATTAGCTCAGCCTTCCCTGGCTTGTTGGTTTTCTGTGTCTGGAAAACCAGGG